CAGGTCACTAGAGGTTCCTGGACAGGATACCAATGACATCACCAGCTAACAGTGTGGCTTTAAATTGACGCTTGCTGCTACTTCTACCACTGTCATCACCACTACCTTGACCACCACCATGAACAATAACAGGTGTCATTTATTAAGCCATTGTTTCATGCCAAGAGATTTACTCACCTAATCTTACTTAATCAGCCTTAAAACTTTATGAGGTAGGTATTATTGCTCCTGGTTTAGAGGCAAAGAAATAGGTTTTATAGATGCCAAGTGACTTGCCTACTGTTGTCACCTATCTGGGAATATCTATCTCACTTTAACCACTGTGCTGTTCTCTCCCTTGGTCTTTCCCCCTCCATATTTATAAGTTAGAGATAATATTTGTACTCTATACACCTAGAATAGCACTCTTCAAATTATAGCACATTAGTGGGTTGTGAAATCAATTTAGTGTGTTTAAAAAACAGGATAGAAAATATCAGAATTCATGACTCTCTTCCTGAAATTTTTTTTCTGGTATACATTTGTGTGTGTGTGTGTGTGTGTGTGTGTGTGTGTGTGTGTGTGTGTGTATTGTTACATGGGAAAATATAATTTATGAAGAAAAATATATGAGAAAATCCATTACATGGGAAAATATATTTCCTACCGTGGGTCATTGTCAGAAAGTTTGAGAGCTGCTCTTCCAGAGTTACTATGAAGGTCAAAGAAACATATAAAATTGTTGCAGAGCTCCTTGTAAACTCTAAAACACCCTATAAATCTAAGTTACCATTATTTAACACTGGAAGCTGAAGCAAACAGACCAAGGATAGCAGATAAGTGTTGCTATGCTGTTCCTCCACCCATGCCATCCATCTCAGATAGCGCTAATCTGTCAACACATCGTGTCCAGTGGAACCAGAACTCAGCTTTGACACTCCTTGACATAGAACTCCAGGCCTCAAGATGCATTGTATCTGTAAACCCAGCAGTAGGCTTATGCATTGTTGGAGTACATCAGGACCAGACTGTGGCTATAAAGTTGTCCTTAGCACTTACAGAGCTCTGGCGCTCATTTGAGCACTAGGAAAACAGATGCCATCCATGGGGGTCTCTATATTACAGACTCCAAAAGAGTCGGCTACTGTCAGCTCCCCACATCACACTCCTGTACCACCATCCTCATCTGGAAGTGATTTACCTCCTTCTGCCTCTCAAAGGAAGTCAGACTCATCCAGGATAGCCATCAATTTTCCCTTGAAACAAAGGTAGCAAGAGGCCCTTCCTGCGAAGGCCATTTTCTTTGGAACCTGCTCTTTCCTCATTAATCGCAATTCATGAGGGAACTGCAGGGAACATAGGATGCAAATTCCCCCAACAGCTGTCCTGAAGGCATGCCCCTCAGGGGATGTACTGCTTCTCAGCTGATACAGCAAACTTTAAATGGTCACAAAAGGAACTGGGTCTCCCCCAGGTTAAAATCACATGGGGAACTGTTTCTCTGCATCCTGCAAAGGAAGCCTATAGAATTGGCATTTCTCTCAGAAGGCACCCTAAGAGAGTCCATGTAGACCTAGGAACCTGAAAGGCATGTCAGAGACTCTTTCAATGGAATGTGCAAGGCACAAAAAACGTTTGTGTATGGATTTTAAGTCAAGACTCAACATGATATTCTGGGCTGTGTGACAAAGTACTTAGGCAGCTCAATTACCAAACCAGAAGTCAGGCTCTTAGTGTTTTATAGACCTTGCTAATGAATGAGTCCCGTGGCCTCTGCTGGACTGGGCTTCTCAGTGCTCTGCCAGCTTGCCTCCCACACATCTGTACATTCGTCAAGCTATAATGGATGGCTGGTGCTAGCAGAGGCTGAGGTCTAGGCCTTTCTCTCCAGGATACATAGAGATCTCAAGCCATTAATAATTCATTCTGGAGTAATGAACATAGCCGTACTGAGTTGTGAGCAGTAATAAAGTGACAGATCAATTTATTACTTCACTGTACTAAAAGATAATGGTAGTTAGTAATGAAAGGTGCAGCTTTTTCCCCAAAAAAGTTTCATAAGACTGAGATCAATGTGTTTTTTAAGTTCTAAAATAAAATGGATCATTAAAAAGGAAATGAGTTATCTTGGGTAGCCTCAAGCCTATTTATATTCAGAGTTGCTTATCCAGAATTACTGTACCTTTTTTCCCAAATGCCTTTGGGTGCTTGGGCCTGCAAATCTGAATAATTATTACTCATTAATTAAATTTGAGAAATTGAACACAGCTCCAGACTTTGAAAAGGGAGGTTGGGATAGTTGAAATACATTCCCCCAAAATCATTAATAATAATTTGAGGTTTATGAGTTAGTAGCTGCATTGAGAATAATTTTTTAATGTCTACCGAGAAATTTCCATCATCTTTTAACACCTCAGTGGACATAGTTGTGCTTCCCCTGGGCCAGACACTGTGCTTAGCGCTGGTGGTACCACCTAAAATAAGCACAGTCTATATCCTAAGGCAGCAGTAGAGACATTCATAACATATAATAAATACCAGGGCAAGCCAACATTTCTGCCTTCGTTGAGGGGTGGAGGATTGAGGAGAGACTAGACAAAGATTACCGAAAGGAAAGGAGCCATTGGAGCTGAGCCTTACAAATCAACAGTTTGCCAAGCAAAGAAAAAAGAGTAAGAAGAGTAAGGCAGAGGAATGACAAAGGCAGATAGCTGTGAAAGTAGAAAGAGAATGGATAGTAAATTATTACAATAATTATTTCCCCATGCATTGTCACATCTAATCTACACAACCTCATGAAATAGATATATTATTCACCCAACCACTCCCACATTTTATAAAATGGGGAATTCAAAGCTTAGACATCCTGAGTCACTTGCCCAGACATCGAGAGCTGGGAGGTGGCAGGGGTGAGTTGGGTAAAGGTGTGCTATTTCATTAAGTTTGGACTTTATATTAAAAACAATAGAGCCCACTAAGGGTTTATAATCATCATTAACACTCAAACAATAGAAGCATTGCTAAACAAATTACACATGATATACACTGTGCCATTGTGTTCTCTCCCAACAACCCAGTGAGCTGTGAGTCCAGTGTGGCTTTCAGCAGAGGAATAATGTGATCAGAGCTGAGTTTTCGACAGTAACTGGTGGTGGCAGGAAGGATAAATCTGAATCTAGAGATTCTAGTCATGGAGCCTAGTCAGGAGGCTATTGCTTGAGTCAGAGGTAATGTTGAGAAACCTGGTGATTAAAAAAAAAAATCATCCAAACCATACATTTTAATATCGGTCTACAATTTAGAAGTGCTTTTATATCTATATAGCTTGTCGATTCATTTGCACAAGGGACTTTTGTGACAAGAGGGGTAAATCTACTGACTCAGCTCACGGGAGGGGAAATATAAGGGCATGGAATTCACTTCCTGCACACAGGAGCTGATTGATGTTGAAAGTAGTGGTGTTACAAGCAGCTTGTAAATATGCATACTTGCTGATTGACTGAGGCACAGAACTGAAGTGTTTCCCCCTTGCCAGGTAAGAACTTCACCGTCTGCATTAAGGCTTTCAGACGAGAAATGTGACAGTGTTCTGGGTGGAATGGAAAACTGCAGGAACACAAAAAATGTTTGTAAAATATTCTTATGTGGACCAGAAAGAGGCCAAGATAGGAGTGGCAACTCTCTTTGCTGCAGGTGTTGCTTAGCAATCACAAAGCAAATTGTCTTCCTAACTGGACTGTTCCACAGTTCAAGTTTCATTGGCACAACCACATGCCCCTTTCACAGGAGGAAGTTTTTATAAAATTACTTCTGGCCCTAAAAATTTTAGTAGAGTACACATCTGCTGATAAAATTGGTTGATATAGTATGTCAGTAAAGGCTAGTTTCAAA